TTGTAACGAGCTCTACACTGTGGACACTTTAAAATACACAAAATGTCAATAAATAAAATTAAGTTTGTTATCATCAAAACATTAATTAATTAATTTGAGATTAAGGCCAAAAAGCCAACATGTATTTCACAGTTTAATATTAGTGTATATGTATTACATTCTATTTACACAAAATACAAGGTTCAAGCATCATTGTATGAAAGACAATAACTAAATATAGGAAGAATATATATGTAAAAAACTATAAAAAAAATTAAAAATACCCCTCTATGTATAACATCTCACTCTCGTTCTTCATCTCTCTCACTACCACTCTTAATCTATCTTATTATCGCTCTCGCTCTTAGTATCTCTAGTTCTCGATCTCGCTTTTTGTTAGTGTCTGCTCCCCTGAAGCTTCCTCTCTGTATAAGTGTCTACTCTCATTTCGAACCATAAAACGTTATCATCATCCTTCTCAACTGCTCAATATACCAGTGAGTGGAAGTAATGAAGAACAATGAAAAAGTCAATTCAAAACCCAACCATAATAGTATTTATTGATGATTATAGAAATCGAACACATGAGAAGTCATAAAATGTTTATTAAAAATAACATAGATAACAATATTTTATTGAAGATAACGGAAATCGAACACATGAGAACTAGGAAAATACAACCAGATCCTTGGAGTGATTCATATCTACGTCAAGCGTGATTTTATGGAACGTCACGTATTAATTTTATCTAATTAGATTAACATTTGATCCCATCTTTTGTGGAGCGATGGCGGCAGGAGACACACATTCCATATGCTACATGGAAAATGTATTACCATCTTACATTATTTCGCCATCCAATTTGGATTACCAATTGATGGGAGAGCTTTGACTAGATTCAGTTCAATACACTTGGTGGGATTTGTGTACTATATACCATTGCGAGTTAACTAGGACTTGGAGATTTAACCGGGGTCCTTAGCTTGTCATGATTGTCCAACCAGTTTAATGATTTTTTACCCATCTACTATAAATGTTGATGATGAAACTCTAAAATATTTTGCTAGTGCATACATTTATTCAAATAAGTCTAATAGCAAAGTGCACTTAATGTACCTACTTCTCGTAGCAAACTTCAAGGTAGCTGGTTGTCTTACATGACTTTACAGGCAGTTAAGCAAAGTTGCAACGATTGATAACAAAATATAACTGACACAATTATATCACTACAGGCTTTGGTATTAGTGTCTTGTAGGCTCCATCTATATGACAATATCTTGGGAGATAGACTACTAGGATGCGTAATTTTAAATTTTTTACTAACAAAAAAATTCACTCATGTTTTATTAAAATATTAATAAAATTATTATTCAATTTCTCAATATTGTAGATGGAATGTTGATGTTTGAGTTATTAAAGTCTCGACTCATGTACTGATCCAATATCAATTCATATTAGATCAATTGATGTCATATTAGGTATTATAAATTCTATTTTTTTAGTACATGTGGGATGGGTTGGGTGATCGAACTCAACCTCTTGGTTGGAGATATATGTCAATTACCGTTAAACTATGTTCGCTTTGGCTATTATAAATTCTATTTATGTATTACTTTCTATTAACATTAAAATATTTGTGCACTTATGTTACAAAAATTAATTCATATTATTTGGGAGTCATATAGGCAATTAATTAAGCACTTACCTAATTACTATTTTATTGGTAATCTTATATGGACAACAAGAAGTCCACACATGTTTTTTGCTGTATAGTACCACTTTCCAAACTGTGTGATGTGCCCATTTGGACGGGTGCAACCTATTCCTATACTTTGTAATACGAGATATACGTTTCCACAAATATAATCAACGTGATGGACATGAACAAAATTGAGTGGTCAGTTTAGCTCCCTAGATTCGAGAGTGGTAAAATCGTCAAACTGTTGTTTTCATAGATGGAATATAAATGGAGTGCTAGGGGGAGGTTAGACGTTGAACTTAATTACAACTTTCGACTTCGATGCCATTAGTGGGAGATTTCTCACCCGAGCAAGAATATAATATTATTATTTAGTAATTAACTTCATAACTAGGGTCTATATCACCTTACCTACCTTAACATTTTTAGGACATATTTACATGTATTAAACAGTATTTTTTTTTTTTTACTTTTCCAGAATATCAAAATTACTAATATGGGCAGGGGATCTCTATCCATCATTATTGTTATATATCGATCTAGACATTTGGATGAAGCAATATTTAATTGTAGGAGAAGACGACAATGAAGAGAGGTTAATATCCGTGCGAATGATCCACTTGAGCCTGAAGTGAAACATCAAGCTCCCACAACTCCTGTGGATCCAATATGTACTCATTGTACCCCACTAAGTCATTGGGATCATTTCCGACAACCTCATCTTCAAGGCAAATATTATTATATTAATACTCATCAATGAATGATTATTTTTTAAAAATATAAATCTACATTAATTAAATAATTAAATAATTTTTCAGTCTATCATTATATATTAACTCATGAATTTCTCTGTTAACCTTATTTTTTTTTCCCATTCTTTTGCCACAAACATTATTTGATTTATTTTGTATTTTCTACACTTTTTTCAGCAAAAATCATTATTGTTAATTCGTTTTTCATCGTCACGGGATTTATTTATCATTTTTTCCTAGACATTGTAACCATCAATGATGTTATTTTCCGATCGAAATTTCGTGCTTTATATTTCATATATTTGATATATATCTGTATATATTCCATTATGATGAAATAATTTGTATATCTCTGAGATCATTATGATGCACATGATATAATTTGCATATACTTCTGAGATTAGTATGATACACGTGATATTATTTATAAGAACCAATAAACAACTTACGACAAAATGCAGCGTTACACGACATATGCTGGTCTCCGATGGTGTGGTCCTAGACTTTGGTGGTGGAGTACGTTGTCATGCCGTGGGTGGTGGTCGGGTACGTCCCGTAGGGGTGCAAACTAACAACACCCTCCATTATTCTTATGGTGGACTGCCCGGTGTGGCCCTAGGCATGGGGTCTAATGGTAGCGTATGTTGTCATCTCGTGTGTAGTTGTCGGGTGACATTGTCGTACGCTTTTGAATGACTTTTTTTTTCTTTTTTATCAATTTGGAAATGATTGGGAAGATTTTGAAAATATCTCACTAATTTAGCGTCGGAAGATTGAGAGAGAATTTTGGAATGAAATCTTAATGGAAAATTGAAAAAAAAAATAAAAAGTTGAAATATTTAATTAATAAATGTAAATATTAAAAATATATCACTATGAGAGCACCGATGTAATTTTCAGTTGAACTTTCTCTTGAATGAATCGAACTCTAGAAAAAAATGAAAATAATTTTAAATTTTAAACACTTTTAAAATTGCAATCTAAACCAATGAGTTATATTATGTAATAACACTATCAAAAAGTTTTTTTTTTTTTTTTTGGAGTACTGTCCCAGTTAAATAACTAGAGAGCATATTTTAGATGACAAAAAAAAATAGAGACAGAAATTTAAAAACTCAGGTTCTTGACTTGTAAATGAAAACTCTAAGGACTAAAAAAATAATTTTGCTTAAAAATTAAATAACTTTGTTTTCCTAAATTTATATACAAAGAGAATATTCCTTGAGAAACAATAGGTTTCTCGATAACTAAAAACAAGAAATAGAAAATAGCCAACCACTCCTAGATCCTCAAATCACAAGGCTACCGAAACCAAAACTTGCGACAAATTGTAGTGGCAACTTTCAAGCTTTTGATTTCCAAATCAATATTTTCTTCCTCCTATAAACAAATCAAAAGATGAAGCAAACAAGAACAGTGGCAGCATCAATATCAATTTTCTTTACAACACTTAAATTTACACCACAGATATGCTTTGCTCTACACATTTCAGTATCTGAAAACGGTTCAAGACTTTCGCTCAACCTAACTCCAATGGAATTTATCTTAGATCTACCATTTACCACTTTTATGTGCAGCGAATGTTCGTGATGCATATAAAACAGGATATGTACACCTGCTCTGCTTGCAAGTATAAGTTTCAGCTTCAGTTCAAATCAGCTTGAAGCTTGATGGACATGTACAGAAGAGTGAGAACTGCACCTTGAGGAAGTGGTGCATATCTTGCAAGATTTGATCCCACCCACATTGCCACTACCACAACAGCAACTACACTGCTGCTACTTTTACCGCACACCCAGCTTGCAAATGAGAGGCATAAAGCTAGTAAAACACCCGCTCTTCCGCCCAACAGCCACGCAATTAGATATCCTATCTTATACCCCGCATCCAACTTCCTGTCGAGCAATGCCACCAGGCTACTAAAGGTGAGGGACAATCGGGCGCCGAACGTCTGTAGTAGAAATAGAGACAAAAATGTTGATTTCAGTACTTCAAGGAAGGGACTTCTATGTTGACTGCTGCTTCCTTCTCCCTCATCTTCATCAATGTGGGTAGAATCCTCTTGGAACCTATAATATTTATGATATCTCTCATGTTGCATCTTTTGCTTTAGTTCAGCCCATCTATAGGTTCTCGATCTTTCTTCAAAATCAGGAGTGTAATACCACTTCCCTCTGTATCGCCTTTCTGTAGTTTCTTGAAGCTTCAATGCTCGGTCATACTGAGCTCTCGTCACTTTATTAGCTAATACCTGTTCAGGAAGACAGCACAAAGCAGATGCTGAGATTTTGGCCTTTGGGTTATAAGCCAAATATTTTGACTGACTAACAGAGTTCGAATCTGAAAAATATTTGGTTTCAAGCTTTAATTTATCAGCCTCATCAAGGAGTGATTTACAGGTTCATACTGACAATCTATGCATTCAGTTTTCCATTAAACCAAAAACACTAAAATAAAATCCCAGGGAGAACACAAGGAAACCAAATTCTTGCAACTTACCAGCAGTAAACACAGGAGAAAACAAACATCTTCCACCAATCAGTGAGCATAAAACACTAAAATTCCAGGGAAAACACAAGTCATTCTTACATCAACAAATTCTTCAAATTTAACATCAATAAACATGAAAGAAACCGTCATCTTCCACTAATTAGTGAGAACAAGCATGTTCTCTCAACTTAAGAACATATATTCCCCTCCCCTCTAATTACTGGAGTCTGGACAATGCCTATCTATTTTGTCTTCACCGACATTAAATGAATTATAAAACAAAATACTTTATAACAAAAAAGTTATAAAATGAAATCGTCGTATAAAGGATACTCACCTCATATGCATGACGTATGCTCTTGAAGGTATCAGCAGCTCGTGAATCCTTGCTAACATCAGGATGATACTGCAGTTCAGAGTTTGTACATCAAGTGGGCGGATATCATAAGCAGTCATTGGTAACATAACTCACAGAACTAACCAAACAAAATAGGCTATCCAAATAGTGTGTAATTAAATGGAGAGACAGTCTACAAAGTAATAGACTTTACAGTACCAATTAAGAGTGGTAACAAGTAAAGCAGGAAATTCATGACATCAGGGAAAGTAAGTAACCAAGAATGCGCTTAGGAATCTGGTGCAGGGGTAACTTTTTCTTTTCTTTTCTTTTTTAATTTTTTAATTGTCAGTATCTAGAGTCAATTTATGCACAACTCAACTAATCTCATTGAACGACCTTTTGGCCCAAGAACATTTGATAATAAAAAAACTAATAGAATTTAATATCTTAAATAGGTGGTCACCATAGAACCTGTAACCTCAATGTCTTTACACTTTCAACTCAACTTAATTGATGAACATGCCAACTCAGGATGATTTGACATAAGAATATTCGAAAATATTAAACTACTATGTGTTTTACATGAGAACTATGAAGCATAGACTTCAGTATAGGTAACCTGTGTCAGGCGGTTGCTCTATGAGATTAGTCGAGGTGCGCGTAAGCTGGCCC